TTTTTGGTGCTATGGAAATGACTCAATATCGTCTTACAAAAGCTAAACTGGCAAGATCCATACTTGATACAGGTTGAAATAAAGTGTTGATTTGTTTAAAAACCAAAAATGAGATATTATAAAGCATATTTAGGATAAAACTTGAGGTAGTTATCAAACATGTTTTTTGTTTTTATTCTCATACTTTGATAGACAAAAATGATTACCAAACATGTTTTCTGTTTCAGTGTTTACCACAAAAGAGAGACAAAAAATTATCTCTATTTTTTATTTTTTGAAGACACAAAAACAAAAACATTACTAAATGACCCTTTAAGTTTATCTAAAGATGATTGGTCTTTAAAGAGTGTGAGAAATATAGAATTAGGGGCTGTTTGGCAAACGTTTTTGTCTCGTGTTTTGTGTTTTTGTTTTAAATTTTTGTCAAAAATGAAAACAAAAATATGTTTGGTAACTGTTTTTAGTTTTGTTTTGTTTTTGTTGTATTGGAGACAAAGACAAAAAAATGAGAACAAAAAATTTGTGTTTCAGGAAACACACAAAACACAAAACACGCGTTTCTTGATTAAATGAGGTCTCAACTTCGAGTCTTGTTAGGCACAAAAGACTCGTTCATTTCCAAAGTATAAATAGGGGTTTTTTTTTTCTTCTTCTTCTCCTCACACAGATCTACTATCTCTCTTCTCCACTCTCAATAACTTTTTCTTCTCCACAGCTCTCAGCAACGAAGACAAACCAAAACCCTCTCTCTCTCTTGCTTGCTATCTGTGAAACCCAGAAACGAAGACACAGATCTACGCATATATGCCTAGATTTGTGCATATTTATGCACAAATCTGTGCATATTTACAAAGATCTGTGTGTGTGAGAGTGACGAGTCTGTATGTGTATGTGTATGTGTTGTTGTTGTTGTTGTTGTTGTGTGTGTGTGTGAATGAGTGAGTGACGGACCTATGTCTGTTTTATGTTGTGTGATGCACATATCTGTACAAATCTACACAGATCTGTGTGTGTGTTTGTGTGTGAGAGATAGATGAGTTTGTGTGTGTGTTGTGTTGTGTGTGTGTGTATTATGTTCTGTGTGTATGTGTGTTGTGTTTGGATTAATTACCGATTGAATTGTCAATTGAAATTGTTCGATTGCGATTTAGAAATTAATTATCATTTGGAAATTAATTATTATTTGAGATTGATTGAATAGTTATTTGGAAATAAATTACTATTTGGAATTGATTGAATTGCTGATTGAATTACAAAGCATATTCAGGATAAAACGTGAAGTAGTTACCAAATATGTTTTTTGTTTTTTATTATCATAATTTGATTGACAAAAATGATATTAAAACATGTTTTTTGTTTCAGTATTTATTACAAAACAGAGACAAAAATTGTCTCTATTTTTTATTGTTTTGAAGACACGAAAACGAAAACGTTACCAAACGACCCTTTAGATTTCTTACTTGCAACGAGGTACACTTGGACTTAAAAACGGACAGGAGAAAATATATAATCAAAAAATTATAGGTGTATTGAATCTAAATAGCAATTCTCAATTTTTTATTACGTGTACAAATTTGGTACACGTCGATTAATTTTTCATCTAGCTTTTGAAATGGAAGAACAAATAGATTGATACATAATGGAGACTAGGAGAGCATTATACATTGATCATATTTTACTAATTTCTTGTTAAAATAGAGAGAAGAATATGAAAATCATGTAGAAATAGAGATCCGACAAAAACACACTTTTAAACGTTCAAACTTGTTCTAACCTTGTATGGTGAACGGCAAATGGGGCAAGTGAGTGTCCTCACCAACCAAGGATCAATACATTGAGCATGGAAGACATGGTTACAAACTGGAAATATTCTACACAGCTCCGCTTTCTGGAAACAGTCCAAGCATATGGCACAAGTCGATGTTTTCTTCTCTATTTTGTGCTCGAAAAAAGGAATTTGTCGTAATTCTTCAAGAGACAAACTTGAAAAATTTTCATCTGAATGCGAAGTCTCCTCATTTGTATCTTCGTGTTGACCAATTAGATCGATAACTAGGTAGCAAACTACCAAATATATGATAACAATGGCTATGAGGCAGACAAGAGGGATGGAGGGGAGGAGGTAGTAAAGGAGTAGCAGAGACCATCGAGAGAAAGAGGAAGACTGGAAGAGGTAGTGGAGGAGGAGGGACCACTAATGGAGAAGAATTTAAGAAAGCGAAACTTGTGTAGATTTGAGAATGGCCATTGATGGGCATAGCATAGAGTAGAGGAAAGCTGAAAGCAAAGTAAACCAGACATTTACTTCACAAGCAACAATTAACAATTAGTAATTATAATTATTTATAACCCCATAACTTAATTGACTTCTTGAAAAGCAATCCCATTTGGCGTACGGGTGTAACTATGGGCGGGTTAATTTAAATACAAAAATATTTTGAATTAATTATTTATTTGACTTTTAAATTATACTATTTGTGTTAATCAAGTTGTTGAACTATGTTTTGTACCAATTTTGTACTTGAATTATATCATTTGTGTCAACATAACTCTTATGTTTAAATTCGCAGTTAACTTGAATCCATACAATTGAATTATAGTTGAATTACACAGACACGATTTAACAAAAAAAACGGGTGCAAATTTTGACTAGAGACTCAAGTTGAGTTGAACTCTAATTGAGAATTTCATCTCTTTGGTGACATACGGATTTACCCCTAAATCCGTCAAATTTGTCGCCTTTTAATTCTTTGCAAAGCAAGTACCATTCAATTTGGAATTAATTAAAAATTACTTAAAAAGTCCACAATGAGCAAAGGTTCCCGTCCACACCACGTGTGCGAAAGGTTCCTATGTTTGCACACTACTACTTCCCGAGATTAAACTAAAGTACACGGGTCTGCAATAAAGTTCTCCTTTAGAGATTGAGCAATGCCATAAAGAACTTATTCGAATACTTAATGACGTCACTTTAATGTAATTATTAAATTTGTTGTGAGTTTTAATGTTAAATGGAACTTATAACCAATTCAATAATTATATTAAATTAGGTCCTCAAATTAGGTCCAAATAACATTTTTCTTAGGAATTTATTTGTCTTTTGAAAGAGAAGCAGACCCCTTCGAATATATATTCTTTTTAAATTGAAAAAGAAAATGTTCCGTACTAATAAATTCAAGTTCATAACCATGGATTCCACGAGATTTTATAACTCTTACCAATAAGACTCTATCGATTAGTATTACATACAAAAAATCAATTATAAGCATTAATACAATTAAAGCCGTTCTTCACAGATAAACTTCAGATTTGTGATCCCAGATAAGATCATTAAAAATAGATCTTTTATCATAAATTAGGCGCTATATCTATTGGAGTCCTCATTAGTATGAGGTAGGTGACCTATGATTGAAACAGATGGGGAGGAAATAAAGTAACAGGAGGCTCCAGCAACATAAATCTCCTGGCATGAATCTCTATTACTTCTACTCTTCATACTTCAAGGCTGAATGCAGTTCGTCTAATCCCCCTCCTTTCATTCTTTGGCAGGTTCTCTTGAACATGATGGTCTTGCCTAAAGTCAAGCATTTTTGGTGGAGAGCTTGCCACAATATTTTGACTTCTCGAGAGAATTTCTTTAAAAGGAAGTGTGTTTCCTCACCCTGCTGCCCTATCCGTAAGCTCCATATTGAATCCCTTGAACACCTTTTATTTGAGTGTGAATGGACGAAAAGAGTTTGGTTTGGCATGAATTTGGCGTTTGAGTGGGATGCAGCTTCTTTTTTGTCGGCGGCACACGGATCTTCCTGGTTTTTGGAGCAGGTCGGGATTGCTCAGGCAAGGCTGGAGGTTTTGGGTAAGGTTGCTACTGTGGGTTGGGTTATTAAAGTTATCATACATGATATTCGATCTTTGACTAGGTTACACAACTTTAACTTTCTACGCAAGCCTAAAGCCTGTAATAGGGCTGCTCATTGGGTGGCAGATGTTAAACTAACAAATTCCTTTTCTTTGGATTAGTTAGGCTCCCTCCCTCTTGATCTTTAAGGCTTTTCTTTTGTCTGACTATAATTTAAATTTTTCTACTTAATATATTATTGCATGGTTATTTCTGCTCAAAAAAAAAACAAAACAGAGATCAGTGGATGACCACTACGCCAAAACTAGCTAGTTATGAGTAAAGTGCAACATTTATCTTTTCGACCATACACAACACCACACACAGGTCGGGCTGTTTAAGCCTTCCCCTTGAGTCTTTGAGAGATTTTTTTTTTTTTTTTTTGCTGGTTAAAAAAAAAGATAGAGGCAAAGAAGAACGTCCAGCGACCACCTCGATAGGTTCTCACCGGTGGGATCATAAAGCCCCTGACTGCGCCTAGAATACCTCTCAGAACCAGACCTAACTAGGCTAGAATAACGATCAATCACCAAACTCCAATGGAGACTCCAAGACTTGAACTCTCAACCTCAAGATGAGGAGTAAGACCGATACTCCACTGAACCACGCTACTTGATGGTAGTCTCAGGGAGACTTGCTGCACCTCCACTCAGTCCAATAATCTCTCTCCTCCCCAGGGGACAATTACCCTAGGATTTGAACCTGTGACCTCACTTTGATACTAATTGTTGGATCGATGAGCTGACCACTACGCCAAAACCAGCGCATCGATCCAACGGTAAGGTTTTTGAACACTAGTAAAACAAAATTGATCAACACATTCTGCTCAGCTATGATTTTTCTCTTATAAGTAAATACTGTTGATATATGTTATTACTTGGAAAATTTCAAAATTAACTTATAACCATCAAAAGTATGCAGGAACAGAACAGCTCAATGTGCAATAAAACAAGGATCACCAATTCCAAGATTTAGGCCGATAGTTTACAAGCATTGTAAGTTATTGATAACTGTCTCCTTACTTTATTGAAGCTGACACGAGGCCTTCGCATTGCAAAAACACCCAACGTGCATGCCAACACTTCCCCCCGGAATGAAATGGTTACATCTTTGGCAGAACAGTGGAAGGATCTGAAGGAACACCTGCACTTGCCTGCCAAGAGAAATACGTTCAGTAACATTGCTCAAGAATGAAGTAAAACCTGCCAAAAATACTCCAGGCAGAGGCAGACACGGGCTTGAGAAAATCCAAGAAACCATTTGGTATTACAATATTATGAACATAAAGATGCACGCTATATGAAGGATTGGGATAATTGGCGCATAAGATGCATATAATTAGACCATTGAAATGACACCTTTCAAGTAATGGTACTCCAAAACCAATATGTTGAATTAGTTTAATTATAGTTTTTAAACAAGTTAGATATGCATAAAGAGTAAACGAGCTGGTCAACATACAAGTAAGGAGAAGCCAATCGTGGATCTGATGATTTTTCTCTTACAGAAGGCACAATATGTAATTCGATCTTAATGCTTATAGGCGTCCAAGCCTCAGATGCAATAGTTTTCTAAACCCACTTGGCAATGGAAGTATTCATGCATGTATCAAGATAGTACTTTATACATATCCACATGGCACATAAGCTAATGATTTAGAGATTTGTGAGTAAATCAATGATTATGAAGATACTTGGTTAGAAAGTTGGATGGCTTGTTAAGTCTGCAATAATCAAGGATGCTTCATGTAATAGCAGATGAGATGATGCCTTTCCATACCTCTAGATATCTCGTTAACATTTTTGTAGTGCTAAAATTGAAGCCCTCAACTGGTTCTCCTTTCTTGCGTGATGCATTAAGCTGCTTTCTGACTTGGGAAGCCAGTGACTGCATTTATACATACAAAACAAATTTATGTAGCAACCAGACAAAATAAAATGGGCAGACGGCAAAAAATTGAAACAGACAAAAGGGACAATTTCTTTTGGTACAGGATGATTGTGAAGCAGAGGAGCTATGAGGGTACGCTACATCACAGTACTCTCTGTTACATTCTTTTCATAGGAAACAAAAGGGAAAAACAAAGAAAAATAAGTGGGGATTTCTTTAAGTCAAATACCTTTCCTAACTCGACTCCCCATTGGTCAAAAGAATTGATACCCCATATGAAGCCTTCCACAGCAACTCTGTGTTCATAAATTGCCAACAACTGAAGAAGAAAGAGTAACAATTAGTCAAATTTGGGCAAAAGTAAATACGTTGATCACTTATCTAGAGAGAATTTTGGGCCAAAGGCAAAAGAATACACTAATGTGCAGTGAGTGAAATTTCAATAAGATAGTGGGACCTGCTTTGACCCTATTGTACAAGTTGAAATTTGATGACAAATATCTACGAGATAAGTTTGGCGTGGGACACCCAGGCCACAATAAAGCATCAGATGACCACCGAGGAAATGTTCTTGACATCAACCATCAGAGTCGGATAATCTACATTTTGTTTCTTTCTCCATCCCCCCAAAATCCACTTTTTCAAGGAGGTGAAAAGGGAAGATAAGATTTTGGAAATGAGGGTGGTATTTGAAGCAATCAAATGAAAACCGGAAAAAAAACCCTTTAAATCACTGATCGAACTAATCAATATTGTGAGTATTGATGACTTAGTATCAAGATGAACTTTGATACATGTAAACCAAAATTCACATGTAGCATTATTCACGCTATATTTAGAAAGGTAGAGCATCTGTTTTTTTTTTGGATAAGAAACAATAATTTAATTGATAATTAAAGGAAAAGGATTACAAAAACAAAACAAAGGTGCACAAGTTGTCCAACCAAAAAAAGGCGTACTCTAGAACATGAATATTACAATCCAATAGTTGTTATCCTATCCGAAGTAATGCAAAAAAGAGGAATGTTCTCAAACTCCTTTGTAACGAAAGCCCAAAAAGAAGATACAAAATGCATTCGAAACTATAAAGATTCAACCTCCTCCTCTAAAAATTCTTACATTCATTTCCAACCATAACACCCATATAAGTGGAAAAAATGCAAAATGCCAAAGTATTTTCCATCTTCTACTTGTACCCAACCCTCTAAAATCCAAACAAAGCACAGACGACATTGTCAAATAGAGCATTTGTTTTGACAAATAGAGAAGCTAATACTCTCACATAACATACAGGAATCAAAATTATTCTACCACCTTTGATAATTTCTCCTGGTTGCATAAGCCCTCTTTCATCCATGGTTCAAAGTATCGGTCGAGTCCGAGTTGATTCAGCTGAGTCGTATCCGCATCGGCCCATACCGAAACGATATCGATACACGATACAACAAATCCACGATTCCCACGCAAATCAGTTATGAATCGGAGACAACTCGGCAAAATCGGTGCAACTTGGATCCAACTCGGACCAACTCGTCACCAAGTCGGTCGAGTTACAATTGAATAGCAAACCCATATGAAAAACTAACTATTAAAAGGCAAAAAAGGAAGAATAAAAATAGAAGAGGAAGAAGCAATCCAAAGTCCAAACCCTACCATGACAACGAAACTATTGACTCTTGCTACGGCTCTTTTTCTTCTACGCAATACAAGGGGATCAAGCACCAGGTACGATGCCTTCCCTACAGATTTAGACTACAATCTCGAGCAATCTCAGGAGTTCTCTCTCTCTCACCCACACACACACACACACATATTTTTAGACCAATTGTCAGAGTCTAAAAGACTAAAAAGGATCTCTTGTGCCTTGGGTTCTATTTTGTTATTTTGGAAGTCTTCCTATATTTAAATGATAAATTGTTTTACTTTTATACTAATAAAAAATGTTTGTATTTTTATTTTATTAATAGTCTAATTCTACTGCTTTAATATTGAATGCAGTAACTAATCTTGCATTCACCAAGTAAATTTTATTAATATATTGACTAATCTATTTTTTTATATATATATATATATATATATATATTTTTAATTTTTTTTAACGAATATTTTAATTTCCCAAAAAATTGAACAATGATGATAAATATCTTCAGTCACACACTTATAATTTACTTGAACTATGTTTAATGTGTATGAGATTTATTTTGGACAGATGATATATGGATTGTGTTCTTTATATTTTTTAGAATTTTTCAAAAAAATTTGGACCTTCTACCTAACATTTTGAACGTATCAGCTTATACCATGCCGCGATACCGCAACCGATGTGTCTCACTGCCTTCCGAGTCAATGACCAATACCGTGACTTTGAACCATGCTTTCATCTCCCCCCATCTCATGTTTTTATGAAATATGTTACTCACCGGTGAACTCTTACACATTAAGAGTTAAAAAACCATTTCCTTTACCAGAGACAAATAAAACTACAGAGTAACAAGGGTGAGGAGTTTGGCTGCATAAACGAATCTAACATATTAATGATGGATGACTCTTCTTAAAGGCTCCATTTGAAACCAAGTGTCCTCAAACAACAAAGTCATGACCTTTTCTAGGCTTTAAGACGATGACTCATGGATGATTTATGAATCAGCAATATAGTTCTACCACTAGAACCATTCAACATTCAAAGGTAGTTCCATATTTTCCAGTGCATTCCATGATATCCTAATCGAATCAGACACTAGTTCCAGAACCAGAAGCCAGTCTACAGATGCTCCACAAATAATAGAAATTTTGGATGATACCTCACCATTGGTACCATTACCTTTCGAATTGCATTTTTTTTTTTTTTTTGTTGTTGGTCATCTTGAATTATCGCTCGCATGGACTTGAGCATATAGTTAAGCACTTTCAAACCTACACGCTTCTAGTTGTTAAAACTTCAGTTGAGACACATTTAAATGTCTTAAAACTTCTCAACGGTTATATGAATTACCACTTAACATCTTGGAAGAACTAAGGAAAAGTTTATGAACCATCAAACCTGTCCAATGCTATATGCATCCAATGATGGCAGGAGAAGGCTGAAAGAAGGTCGATTGCCAGAGAAGGTCTGTGAAAGATAATGCGCTAGTAAGCTAGAACATCCAATTGTAAGCAGAAGAAGATAAAACTTAGACAGAGACATAATCACCTTGTGAGAAATGAGATGCTGGGGAACATTTTCAGTTAGCAACTGCTCAGAGTTCTGGAAGCACAAAGTTTCATTAGGTATTATGACACCTCAAATACAAAACTGATCATATAGCAGATGCAGAAGTTATATTTTTATGATTTTGAAAAAACAAAAGGTCATAAAAATTTCAGGGTTCCTGTATTTTTTGGGCTCTGCGACATATGTCAACTGGTAGGTCTATAGTTTTGTTAAATCTGAGTACACTTGTTTTGATACCCAAAGTATATCTGAACAGCAGACCTCGAAATACAAGAATTCATAAAAAACATGCAAAATCATGATGATGACACCACTTCAGTTTCTCCTCTTCCTTTTCTTCTTCTTCTTTTTTCCTTTTACCGGCTTTTTCCAGTCAGATGTAACTAGATATCAAAGGAGAAAAAGATAAATCCATGAAAAAGGCATACAACTTTTACCTTCCCATAAGCAAGGGCATCTGGCTGTGCAAAAAAGTTAGACATTAGCTCATCGTGGTTACTCACCAGTTCACCTGCAAAAGAAAATGGGATAACATAAGGGGATGGGAAAAACACCAAGAAAATAAAGAAAGGAAGAAGAAAGAGAAGTAAACAGAAAAAGAAATATAAAAAAACCTTTCAAGTACACAGGTTGCTGACTCTTTTCAACACCAATAAAGTCACAAGGTATAACACGGCCCTGAAAGGTACCAGAGAATGGGTCATGAAGATACAACTTTTAACATTTTTAATATATGAATTCAATCTAAACATAGTCTAATAGCAGTATTAATCAATTCCAGCAAACTATCATTCACTTCTGAGTTTGTTCAGGGTTGTCAAGCCATCGAATTTACATAGACAAATCCAGATAGATGGATGCCACTTGTTATTCCAGACTGTGCATGTCAAACATCACACTATATGTCATTCTAGACAAATTGAGATTCTCAAACTCCTTTTTACTAGCCTTAGACAAGTAAAAATCCTGAACTCCAAAGAAGCATCCAATTTTTCCTTTGTGTTTGGAAGCTAAAAAGTTCCATTTTGAAAAATAAAAAATAAAAATTCCAGGCATCCGAGAGTCTTAGAAAACATACAAGTGGCAAGAAACAAGAACAGGATTTAAGAAAGCGTTTCATATTCGGGCTAAATTAACATATTCTATGTACTTATGCGTTACCTGGTGAATCAATTGGTAAAAGCTATGCTGACCATTTGTTCCTGGTTCACCAAAATCAATCTCACCAGCCTCAAAGGGAAGAGGCAGACCGTCAATCGATACTCCTTTCCCATTACTCTCCATGCTAACCTAAATTGGGTTAAATTCGGAAGGCCATAAGGGTATTATGATAAAGATTCCAAAATAATATTCAAGCAGAAAGCTATGTTAAACAAACCTGTTGAATATGTGGGGCAAACTTTTCCAGGGCTTGAGAGTAAGGTAAAATGGCCTGCAAGAATTTGAAGCTTCAAGGTTATGGGGTGTGCAGTAAGAAGACATTATCAGAAAATTGTCAAATGGCAGAAATTGAATGTAGCATCTTACTCACTCTTGCAGGGAAACCAAGAAACGAAACATTCCATATGCTCAACAAACCCAGGAGCACCTGCAGCAATGCCAATAAACAGTAAAATAAGTCATCCAAATATCTGACTGACATCCAGGGTATCTAGGAAAAAAGTTATTCAAAATAACAGAGCCGAGAAATGATCATGGCATTTGGACATACGGGTATGTTTTTCTCAAATGGTGCCGAATAGAAATGTTGATCAATGCTTGAAGCTCCCTTCAGAAACCTTCAAATAAGAACAAAACATAAAATGCTTTTGGATATTAAGCATTGCGCCTTAAATTCAAGAAACTGTAACGAGAAAAAAAAGGATTCATGATCATCAACAAATAAGGTAATGTACAAATATAGCAAAACAGGGGGGGGGGGGGAGGGAGGGAATCGGAGTCTGCAGATACCAGTAAAGGATTCATGTCCACAAATGAAGTGGCAACTAACTACAGTTCTTACCATCTCTAACTTCATTTCCTGAACATCCTTTTATTAGATGAAATATTACTTTCAGCAGCACTGTCCTTAAAATAAGACTTCCAGATTGCAGGTGGTAAATAAATCTAGAGATCTAATATCAATAAGTATTTATTTAAAAGGAAAAAGATATAAGTTACTGTACTTCTCAATAACGGGAAACCCATATTGGAGAGATAAAGGAAATACTCCAACGGCACTGCAGACTGCAAACAGCAGTTCAAAGACCAATTAGACATAATAAAGCCATAACTTCTTACTGAACATTTTTAGTTGACAGCCTAAATATTGAACTGAATATACTTACCACTATATCGGCCTCCCACCCAGTCCCAAAAGGCAAAAGCATTATTTGGGTCGATGCCAAACTTTTCTACAAGCTGCATTGAAGGCAGAAAAATAAAATTGCAATAGCTCAACTCAGCAATGCCTTGTCCTACTATTTAGGGAAATTATGTTTGCAAATTCAGTAAACTTAAACTACTTGTAGATTAATCATTTATCTAGTCAACTTTTAAAACTCTGGTTTTTTGCCACAAAATTGACCAGAAACTGATATGGAAACAACTGAATTACCTGTAAAGAGGAAACATATGTGATCGGCTTTGTATAAGAGATATAAAAACAATATGCACATCGCAGTTAAAAGAACAATGGTACTCCTAGCCTTGTGAAGGGTTTGCCTTTTTTAAGTCAAGGGTTTAAGTCTCTCCCCCCCCAAAAAAAAAAAAAAAAGTTAAAAGAACAAGGGTGAAGGATAAAAACCAAAGGAAATCACTAAGATTCATAGGAAATACATTATGATGCTTAATCATCTAGCTGTAGCTGACAAGGAAAATGATCATACCATAAGGTTAGTACTAACAGCAACCATGTGCTTCGCAACTGCCTGAGGCCTGAATAATAAAATATCAGTTATGTTCATGTGGTGATGAAAGAAGGTGGGGAGGGGGGAGGGGGCGTCAAACCCACATGCATGTGATAAACTTCTAAGATTGGTTACAAGGTCACCAAAGTTTAGAGTTGTGCTCGGTCTATCCCTCCCAGACCTCCCCCAATAGGAACTTAACTGAGTCTTATTTTTTAGTTACAAGTCTGCCAATATTTCTAGAGTACAACCAATAAGAACTGAAACTTAGCAATATCAAGCATAGGGCAATAAATTAAAAAATCATTTGCAAATCCTAATTCTATTCCAAGTAACTAGAAAAGACAATACACCTCACTGAGTTTTCTTCACATCCATATGCTATCTGAATCTCAAACTAATCTCCAACATCAGTGAAGGATTTACTAGTTCCAAAATCTAACTTTGACTGTGCACGTGCATCCACGTCCCAATAGGGACTTAAACATTGCACCTTCCCATTTGGAGGCGGTAAGGGATACCACTCAAGCAATTAAAACATGAAACTACCATCATGTTCAATATCTTTGAACAACACTAACCCCAAAGCAGATGAGATCCATTCCCTCAGTGTCCTGGCATTCAGCATAGTTTCAGCCGTTGTAAAAGTTTTTGAAACCACCACAACTGCAAAATAACAGAAGATAAACACAATGAACAGGACATGAATCTATAAAATTAGCTCAGACCATAGATAAATGAAGTTTAGTAGGAACTTCAGAACTTGAATTACCTAGTGTAGTTTCAGGGTTCAAGCCTGTGATATTTCTAGCAACATCAATTGGATCAACATTTGCAAGACTGTAAACAAATGCAGAAAAAAATAATCAGCATACCAAATTACTGCTCAATCATAGAAGCTGTCGCTGAACTTGAAATTATTTGGGCCGCACCCAGCCAACCACATTTTATTGCTCTCCGATCAAAAGCATCTCAAGATCAAGACATGTTCCTCAATATATTTACAAATATCAGGTTGCAAAAATATGAATCTAATGCAATAAAATGGCTAAAAGGATAAGTTGACATCCAATCAACTCATTTGTACGGAATCTTCTCAGTTCACTGATTAGTGGCACTAAAGGTTACCAAGTTTATAGGGATTCACACTTACAAACGAAGTTGGCGTCCTCTGGCACATTCAATAGCTTCAGGATCTGTAAGTTCCAATATTAAATCATAAATACTACGTTAAGGGATTTGTGCTAGACAATATTAACTAATTCATGAGTACACTGGTTAATAGAATTTCAATAATGAAAATTGTAGAGTACCACAGAGCAGCCAGATCAGAGTGATTCAAATCAACCTGTTTGAAGAGCAGTATGCACAAATAGAGGACCTAAGAAGCTGCCGCCAATACCAATAGCAACAACATCCTTCAATGCTTTTCCTGTGGCCCCAACCTACCAATGTTTATATGTTACTCAACATTTTGTTATGACATAGCTGTATGCAGTGACAAGTAATGGTGGAAAATTACCCAAGAACCACTGCGGACCCTCTCAGAGAAATCTCGAATTTTGTTCAGAACGTGCCAAACATCTGGTACCACATTCTTCCCATCACTGTATATAACTGCATCTTTTGAAGCACGGAGTGCTATGTGAAGGACTGACCTATTCTCTGTGCTGTTTATCTGAACGTGCCACCCACAACAAAGTCTGAGGATAAAATTGGACAAACCTAGGATAATTTCAATGCCTTAGCATTGGAAAGTTCTTGTATTTTTTTCGGTGAGTAACGTTTTTGTATTATTGATAGGGTAAGAGAAAAAAATTTAGACCCCCTTATTCTATCAATGCATGATTTCCCAAAGTTAATGAATTGAATACCCAAATTATGATACATGCTACAGAAGATCTAAATATGAAACAATCCTTGAAGAAAAAGGGTGTCCAACTTCTCAATTTGAGAGAGGATGCTTCTAACTTGTTCATAGGATTAAGGTAGGATGGCTTAAGCAGATAACTGTTTCTGCTATATTATTTGACACATGTATACCAATGAAAATTAAAGGAAACTTCTATATCACACCTATAACTTCAATTACATTTACAGGATCAAATGACAGTCAAACAGGAGATAACATGTTTTTTAGAATGTAACTAAAATGAGAATGTTAAGATGAATATTTGATAAAAATAAAAATAAAAATATAGGTAGAGTTGAATACATTGGTGAGGCAAAAAGAGTAATACTAACAGATCAAGATGGTTTGAAAATGCACAATAAAGACCAATTGGCGCACCAATATGGTTGAGTGATACGATACATTATGAAAGTGTTGGCGGAAGCAAAAGATTACCATCAACACAAAATGAGGAAGTGGCAAATCTATAATTATTGTATAATGGCTTGTAATTTACCCTAAAAATCATACAATGGAGAAAAAAAATAAGAAGCCGATCTAAATAACTAAACCAAGGTTCAGTTAGGTTTGGTTCTGGAATC